GAGCATCTTCAGATTTTATTGTTGCAAACCTCTGCTTATGAAGGAAAGCACAGAGAAATGAAGAACTGGAGGGTTGGTCACTCTTTCACAATTAAGGCTATTCTGGATCCATCTGCCTCTAGATTATGGCTTTATCACTGACGTTTTTCAGTCCTTAAATACTGTCTTCCACGCTCTTCTTTTCACAGGTAATCAGTTCCTATATTGCCCTGGGCCTGTGCCTGGGCTTAACCAGGCACACTGAAAGGGAACAGGGTAAAATGCCTTCCATGAGCAGCACGTGTCTTAGAGACCAAGACTGGCTGGGCTGCTGGGGAGACAGCCCTGCAGGGCGTGCCTGACTCCTGCTCCAGCAGGCCCACAGCCTCATCACCCTTTCTCGGTCCTCATCTCTGAGCTGGATGGTAGGCAATGCTGCTTCTCTGAGTGACACAACATGAATATCCACCAAGAGCCAAGTGCTGGGGCCAGGATGAGGTGCTGAAAATGTTCAGCCTCATCTGGCCCAAGCTCACAAATCCTGTCACCAAAAGGAGGTGAAAACACATACTGATATGGCAGCAGTTCACAGCTCTCAAGAATTATGTATTTGGGACACATTCCTCTCTGGGGAATATTCAAAAAATCTCTTTGAGAATGCATGTGCCACTTCACACTTTCCTGAGCATTCTGTGCTGCAGACAGTTGTGTAAAGCAACTTCCCATTTAGCAAGCCTGTATTTGGGATAGGGTGTCTCCAGCCTTCCACGCTCTTTTTGGACCCAGGCAGGTCCCACCAAGCATACACTTCAAAGATGGAAGAGGCAGGACACTGCTGCAGTGATTCCAGCAGCAGGCATGTATGCAAGAGGAGGAAACTACAAATGTACAACTTCAGAGAGCTGTGGGGAGCCAGAGGGGCTGACAATAGGTCAGAAGGGTGGGGAGCTGGATTTTGAGTGACCTAGATCAAAGCAACACAGGGAAGAGCAGAACAGAAAAGAAGCTACTGCACAGAACTTCACTTGAGCTTTATTCCTCAAAATAACTTTTTTTTTTTGTCAGAAACCAAGAAGTATTTGTGAGAGTCCCTTTACTAAACTAAGCACTTCATTGATACAACATCTCCACAAGCAAAAGAAACATTAATTTTCCACCTGGCAAGGATAGGGTTGTTCATCAATATTTCCAACAATTGGATTCCAAGTACAATTGGATTTAAAATAAAAGAAATATAAAGGAAATCTTCAATCTGAAAATCAGGTCTCCAGGTCTACGTGCAATCCAGAAGAATCTGTCCCCATAGAATGTACTACACAAAAGCCGAGAAGCCAAGTGAGAAATTGCTTGAATTAGTCAGTTGGAGAAGGAGCCAAGGAGATCACTTCATCATCAGCCGCTATGTTCATGATCTGATTCTCAAAAATAAAGATAAATCTGCCTACCTGGGATTGCCAACCCATAATGTCTGGCAGGAGCTTGTCACCAAAGCTGCCTCAGCCTTCTTCACATATTTTTATGACTGGAGGTGAATGATATTTCTCCCCTCTAAAACCATGACATGCTACCCCTCCACAGGAACTCGTCAACATGAGGCTATTTTTATACTTCATTAGAAGAAGGAAATCTAGAACAAATATTATCCTTACAGAAAATGCAATGTCAGACCACAATACTAAGACCACTGGAAAATGGTTTCTATAAAAGTGCTGGTAATTAAATTCCCATCTCAGTAAGACAATGGAAACAGGCTACCCCTACATGTAATGCTAATAGCGATGAGTCTTATTGACTGCCTTCCTATTCACTGCAGACCAAAAGGTACATGAGCTAAGGCAACTTTCTGAACAGAGGTCCCACGGGGTAAAATTCCTCTGGTTTGAGATGTAATTGCATGAGGCACAGACACATTATTTACAGAATCAAATTTTTTTTTATATATATAATGAAAAATAACAGTTTTAAAGCAATAATGTTCTGTTTGTAACTCTATTCCTACAGTCCTATCTACCATGAGGACTATCGCTACTCCCTTTTGCAGCACCAAAAGCAAAAAAATTTTGCTTAAAAAATTAACCCCACAGAATAGACAATCTCACATTCCTACTAGTCAGTCCAGTTTTTGAAAACATAAGGTTGAAGTTGACAGGTGCCTCAAGTCTTTCCTGGACAGCTACTACGTGTAATTACTGTTCTGTTTGGAAGACAGAAGCCCATACTAGGTCACTGGTTAAAATGTCAAGGTTTTTGTAATGTAGATCAATCTCATATCCAAAACATCAAAGTCTCAGTTTAAAGTAGAGAAAATTTAATTTAAAGCACAAGAAACACCATAGGTTACTAAAACAATTCGTATTGCATGGCAGATGGCACATATTCTATGCACAAGCACTAATATTTAATGCAATGTACTGCAACTTGCTATTCCTTCTACATAATAGGCTTACCTGCCCATCTCACTGACCAACAAGGGTCAGCTACAGTACAGCTGAGCCTCTGCATTGCAATCCAGATTTGATGTTCACGGGGGTTTTGAATTGCCACGGTGCACAGGATAAGGTATCAGATGCTAGATCACTAAGCCATCTGCTGAGCAATGAGCACAGTGAGTTCCTAACAGCAAAGCATCAGAATGTAACAGTGAACTAGCTCAGAAATGAAGGCTAGTCTTAATACAAACACAGGTGAGATTCAACTCCTAGCAATTAATCTGTGCAAAGAAGGTGCATGCGGAGAGGTAATAATCCTGAGCATAATCCCACCCACACACTCTCGCCTGCTGCTCCTTATGAATGGATAAACTACTCATGCCACTACAAACCTAAGGCCTAAATTTTACTCCATCATGACTTCCGAATGGGTACAGAGAGCAGCACAGATGTTCACTGACAAACTAGGGGTTTTCCCAAATCCTAGSTTTTTAGCCATGGTGTTTTGCTATCCAGGTTTGCAGTCCACCCGAGAAGCACATAGCCCACAGCCCAGAACATGCCCTGCAGTGCCTGCTGGAGAGGACACACAGAGACCATGCTGGAGACACAGACCTGCTGGAGGGACCCTCAATGAAACAGCTGCTCTGGGCTTACACTGCCACTTTTTCTGAAAGCTTTCCCCACTCCAAAGCCTTAACCCCCAAATTACCACCATGCAGCTTGCCCCAGCCACCTSGGACTAAATTCTACCTAGATAGTGTCGTGAGAGGCACCATTTGCTCACTTTTCACMATTATGCATCTGCTTTATGTGTAAGGAATGGAAGTGTTCATGGATAAAAATCATAAAATAGATCACAGTTACAAGAAAGGATATGATCAAATTCTCCCTCGAAGAGCCGCACGGGCCATGAAAATCAGTGCAGCTTTCCCAGTAAAGATGGGAAAAGAGAAAAAAAAATCTCCTCACAGACTACACAGGGATGGAGACATCCCAGCCATAACTATGGAGCATTCTGGAATTGAGAGCCCTGGGCCTGAACTGGAAACCAGAGTGGCTGCACTGTTGCCTGGAGTTGGACAAGCCACARGATTTTCCTCTTCCTCTCCCCATGGCTGTGGCTGGCACAGCGGGAAGGGATGGCCTCACGGGACTCAATCTGGGCTGTGAAGCATGCAGTCCCATTGACTTCAAGGGACACAGACAGGAAGAAAATTTGTGCCCATCTTTGATTCCCGTTAATTATGCTGCCTAATCCCTCTAGTTTAATAATTTGAACTCAATTCCTCATGCTATCCATTGTAGGGGCATGCACATGCATATGTTCTCCCTACTTACAGACCAGTCCTCTTTTGCACATTATGATGTGATAAGCCCTCTCTGCCTTTTGTTTTTTTTTTTAATGGAAATTGCACGGCACAATTCTCTCTTGATTCTTGCCCTCTATTACTGCTGGCTCATTTCAAACCGCACTGCCCTCATGCCAGTGCAAGCTGAATGTCCCCAGCCCTGCACCTGTGATTAGGGGTGTCAGAAACCTGGAGCCTACTGCACAGTCTAAACAGGGAGTGGGGAGGCAGATATCAAGTTGATCAATAGGGCTTTTTTTAAATGAAAATTAGCTCTCTTYCTCATTCAAAAAATAAAATAAACGTCATCTGGTCACTGAACCAAGTCTATGGCAAAACACATTTACCTGCAGCTAAATTAAATCTTTATCTTTACAATAAATATTTTTAAAAGTCCCTCAATGCTAGTATTCTAAAGAATAGATTTATATATAATTTAAGTTTAAGTATTAAGTGACTTCCTTCAGTCTAGAACATGCGCATGATTTCTGACTCCATAGAATTTCTGCAGATTATACACAGCAATATAATGTTGTAGTCAAAACAAGAAGACATCTTTAAATTTTTGGAAAACATCTGTTTTCATCCTTTACCATCTCTTTGCCAAATATGTAGCAGTTTACACTGTGATGTAGTGTAGAAAAAATACTATAAAATGGGGAGACAGGAAGAGTACTGCACCTATGTGTACACACATGCCTTCCATAGGTCGTGCATACRTGCACTGTATCCATTGCAAGTTACTTCCCTTCATGATGAGCATAGGCTCAGTGATGATATTCCAGGGTCACGTTTTAGCCAAAAGGTTGGGTTTGCTCTTTTTGTGTTAGRAAAGCTCGTTTAAAAGCTAATTCCCAAACACCTCTAAGATCGATTTTTATTTTTTTCCCCCCTTTTTAACGTTTCAGCATGACGCAGAAGTTGCATTTCCAGCCGCTGGGGTGACCTCAGGACTACGCCACGGGCGGCTGTTCCGCTGCCTGACTAGCACAACAAAACAGCTCTATAAATAACTCCCGGAGGAGCTGCCTCTCCTTCCATGCGTGCCCAAGGATCCCGTGCGCAGCCCGCATTCCCGGGCACATCCCACCCGCGCGCACGCTCGCGCGCCGGGCTCGCCGCGCTCCCGCGGCCGCGCTGCTCCATCCCCCGCGCAGCGCCCCGGGCACCCGCAGCAGCGCCCGGGGGCTGCAGGGGAGCCCCGCGCGCCCCCCGGGCCCACCCCAAAGCGGCCGCTCACCTCCTTGAGCTGCTCGAGCTCCTGCTTGAGGCCGTCATACTCCGCCTCGAGCTCGTCGTACTGCTGCTTGAGCGTGAGCTTCTCCTCCAGCACCACGAGCCCGTACTCGGCCGCCTGGATCTTCTCGTGCGTCGTCTCGGAGAGCTCGCGGGTGAGGCGCTCGATCTCGCTCTTGTAGTGCTCGGCGCCCGGCAGCACCTCCTCCGCAGCCATCGCCGCGCCGAGCCGCGCCGCGCCGAGCCGAGCCGCGCAGCGCCGCGCGCACCGGGGCGGACCGGGGGCGGCGCCGCCCCGCGCAGCGCAGCGCAGCGCCGCGCAGCGCAGCCCGCCGCAATGGGCGCTGCGCGGCCCCGCCGCGGCGCCGGCCCCGCAGGCTGCGGCTGCGGCGGGCGCGGAGCGGAGCGCAGCGGCGCGGAGCGGGCGATGCTGCCTCTGCCGGGCACCTCCGCCCCCCGGCGCGCCGCCGGGCCCTCCCTCCTCCCCCCCCTCCCTCCCTCCCTCCYTCCCTGCCTCCTTCCCTCTGACGGGGTCCTGAGGGCTCCGCTAATTGACAGCGGGGTGGGGGGCACGAGGGGAAATACTAAAGCGCACACGTGCCCCGCATGATGGAGGCTCCCCACGCGATGGGGGCGCCCCGCGAGATGCTCCCCCGCGCGCCGCAGCTCGCGACCCACGCTGCTGCACACTCGCCGCGCAGCAGCCTGATCCCTGTGCCTTGCCCTGTGCCTTCCCCGTGCGCGGTGCAGCGCGCTCCTTGGCAGCGGGGCAGCCGTGGCGCAGCCTGGGCACCGCCGGGTTTTCCGAGCGTGTTGCAGCGAGGCCCGCGGCGCTGGCGCTGCCGTTAAAAATAGCAGCGGAGACGCAGCGAGCGAGCTGCAGGGGCGGGCGCGCGGCCTGGAGCGCTCACCTGCCAGCCCAGCAAGCTGCAAAGGAACAAGCGGCTGCCCCTCTCCCTGTCCCCAGGGAATACCCACGGGCTCGGGCCCCAGGGAATGCCCGCGGGCAGGGAACCCGCGTGTGGGACAGCCCCCGGAGCTGTGCATTAAGCCAAGGCCGCATTCCCGTGACTGTTAATGCAAGAGCTCTGCGCTGATGAGGCTGCAGTGTGAAGGCGATGCCCGTCAGGCGCGGTCACAGCGTTGTTTTGTGTCGTGTTAAGCAGTGAACCTGGTGCATAGACTGTGTCCCTTTCGTGCTGGCTGCAGGAAGGCAGGTGATTCTTGTCCAGCATAGAACTGGAGTGGTGCAGACGGGCAGTAACTCATCTTGTGCAGGGTCTGAAAGCTGAGGCATCAAACTAGGGGCTGTGTGCACTGAGCTGGAGGCGSGAGGCCGTGCTGGAGCAAGGTCTTAACGTGCCGGTGTCACAGGTTTGGTACTAGGCACCTGGACCCCAAATTGCCTCTTTCTTCCAACGCGGCTTGGAAACAAAGCCCTAATCAAWGCAATACTGACTGAGTTTTGCCATAAATACTAATAGAATTAAGTTTTCACTCTTGGCAAGCATCTTTTTAAGAATACTAACCAAACTGGGTCTTTGCACTATAATGTTTAACAATTGGGATATCATTTTCAGGAAAAAGAAGACTTTAAAAAAAGAAGGTGCTACATGCAGAGAATGGATATCGCTGTGCACCACATTGGAAATCAAAGACATGATCTCCTCTTTTTGCTGATTTGTTAGGCAGTTTCAGGCAAGTCCCATGATTTTTCTACCTCACCCGCCCCATCTTTTAAGAGGTAATAACATTTAGAGAGCTCAATAAGGTGTTCTGAGATCTGCAAGTAAAAGCATAGACACGAATCATGCAATATATGCCTATAACACACACTCCAAATATAYATGCACGTATAGCTCTAACACATCATTGTAATCTAGACTCCACACAAACATTACTTCTTGTTGCTGGAAGATAGAAAGAGGATGAGCACGCAGCCAAGCGCTCTGTTAGATGTTCTGTTAGCAGAAGAGTTTTTGCAGCTTCTAGGAAGTGCTCTGTCTTCTTCAGCTTTCCACCCAGACCACTGTGAAAGCMAGTCTTCTGTGAACAGCCATTCAAGAACGGATTGGAAAACAGTTTAAGACCAGTATTGAAAATGAGCAGGTGTTTCAAGGACGATGTGGAAAGTCTCTAAAGCAACTGGTTTCTTATACGTGATCTAGCCTGGGTGTAACTCCACTTCATCCTTTGGTTGATAATCTCACTCCTAACCCAAGGGCAGCCTCACCACATGTCTGAACATCTGTGCCTTAGTGARGAAATCCAGCTCATTAAAATGCAGCCTTTTCCTGCAATACTTCACACAGACACTTAGAAGAATCTCCCTTTTTAAACGGGGGAGGAGGAATGAACTCCAGCTCTGCAGACTGTGCAGAAGTTCACAGTAACTATGGGAAAGTTATCCTAAACTGGAAGTCCTGTAGCTATGTCACACTGAATGTGCTTGTGATTTGCCATCATTACCACTTTTTTTTCCCCTATGCCTTATATACACATCCAGTATAAAATCTGGCTCTTTTGCTGAGATTCATCCTGACTACCTTTCAATAACTCATTTTAGAAGTCTACTATTTTAGACGCCTACCTTACAGTGAAGCAAATCATGCCTTTGCAGTGACCTGGAGTTAGGGGAACCAGCTCAGTCATGGATGTCTAGGTCCAGACTTCTCTGTTTAATGAAATGAACCCCACCTATTGTACCTWTATACCATTTCTCTGAGCTTGAAACTGAATCCCATACTCTATTTTCCCCAAACTAACTGTATTTTAATGGACTTCTAAGGTCTCCGATAAAGCTCAAGAGTATTCAAGCCCCTTTCACAAGTATAGGGATCTCTGATTCACCTCGTKGCTGACTCTGGGAATATGAGAAAGGTTGGATGAGCCTACGAATGCTGTAACATATTAGTCATAGAAAACGACATTATTAAAGAAGGGAGTATTGTAGCATAACCCAAAAGTAGCCTTTCCCTAGCGAATGTCTCTAGGACCATACTTATTAGTGCATATAATCCAAACCAATGACATGGCTATTTTAAATAATTTCATTCTACAAATATCCATCATCTGGTTGAAGCCCTGCAGTGCTCTTTGGTTTTATGCCTTTCCGAGCTCAAAACCCATGTTTCCATCTTATTAAAAGTTAGTATATCATACTGCATTGCTATTCCTCCTTCTTTTTTCCTTGTTGTTTTTCTTGCACATGAATATTTCAAAACAGTTTATCATCAYTTAGCGACATTTAAAACACCCCTGTAAAGCAAACCTTGTTACAATTGCATCCATTTTATGAACAGAAATTGCCATTTGAATTCCTGGTGTGTGACCCACCTAGACTCTAAACTGAGAATACCAGGTTCCAGTACCAAAAAATGCTGTTCCAATTACACATTTTTTTGATACAAGCAGATATTCAACAACAKGCAAGAAGCTGTAGTTCCTATCTTGCTCAGGATGATGCTATCAACATTCTCAAACATTTAAGAGGTATTTAATGGTCTATATGAAACAAACTGCTGGTTCTACATATCACAGATATGTACAGATATAGATATGTAGATGTAGATATCACAGATATTTCTATTCTCATAGAAAATGCATCTGTAAACCCATCCATCACTGGGTCGCTGAATCACTGCACCCACAGGGGACACAGAAATCACTTTGAGTCCCTTTATATGGAGCATCTCACACAGGTCCRGAGCCCAAATCCAACAACTGCTCATTAGTAGTGTCTGTGAGGATGAGGGGCATGAGGACCAATCTGTCCCTGCTAGTAGCAATGGGATTGATTTCCTGAAAGCAAAAGAGAGAGAGAAAGCAGAAGAGGGAAGCGAGTGCAGGGACTGTGCTGCATCGGTTTGGGAAATAAACAAGTAGCTGTCACGTTGCCAAATCTTCATCTTTCTTGAGCTCTGCAYATACACAACACATTTGTAGCAAATGATCAGCCTAGAGATAAAAGGGAGGCACTCAGAAGAAAACGCAATTTGAGAAGAAATTTAAAGCTCACAGTGCACTAGAAATGGTAATAGGTTTTAAGACAATTAGTTTATAGAGAACATGAAGAGAAACTTAAGAAAACACAAAAGTTAATAAGCAATAAAAGTAATGTTATTTTACTGATTGACATGAGTGTCAGTATTCAGAAGAAAGGTTTTTGAACACTGTTGTCCTCTTCTGAGTTCTGCATAAGCTACCGCTAAAAGATCTGCAAAGGTAAATAGAAAGACAAGGCTGTATTCAAGTAAGCCAGAATTCAGGAACCTATATTTCCAGTTCTGGAACAGAAGAACCAGAACAATTCTGGTTGCTGCAAACCAGAAAAATGTTGAAAACAGTCTATATAAAATACACAGTAGCCAACAAGGAGAAGAGAATAAAACAAAACACTTCAGCAAGGAAACAACAACAAAGGAGCAGACAAACATGGTTGTCAGGAAGTTTTGTATAYAACGAGGAAGGAGTCTGACAACAAAGAAGATTTTTATCAAATAATGCCAAAAAAAATAAAGCATCATGGCAGAACACAGCTAAACAACAAAGCAATTCCTGCCGTATAGAAGAACTATAGTCCATAGTAAAGAATGTGATATTGTTCCCTTAAACCAAATAATAGCAACTCAGGATATTGCTTTCAGCCAGCATTGTACATGGGTCTGCATTCACCTTATTCTTTTAGTAAACAGCCTGCTCCTTAGACTCAGGACCTGGGACACAACTCTTCCATTCTATGGAGAGTTTTATAGCACAAAAAATGCCCTAAAGAAGCACAGAAAGGATTATTATTTATGTTTAAACCACTAGTACTACCCTGTGACAGCAGAAGAACCTGTCCACGTGAAGACGTTGTCTAAACAATTTAATCTAGATAAATCTAAGCAATTCAATCTAGACAAGTTAGTGTCATGGTACTGCTTTTTAGTGGACAGGTTTCAAACCAGGAGGAGAAGGGAGCRTGCAGTCTGTGACAGATGGAGCACCCATTGCTCGGAGAACCGCTGCACTTAACAGCTCAGGCAAGATGCAAGGCAGGCAAGAGCAAAATAACCATATCCTGAAACTCCTTAATCAGGGAAATGGAGGGGCAGAAGGTGCCTTAAAGGGTCATCTGGTCCAATCCCACATGTAGGAGGGGATGAAACCTATGTGGACCATTTGTTTCAGAGATTTATCTAATATCTTCTTAAAACTCCCAGGACAGAGCTCCTA